GGAGGGGAGGGTTTTATTTCATAGGACTTACTTTGGGTCTGTAGAAGACGTTCTGGACGGAGAGCATAGAGACAATAGTGAGGACTTCTTCTGAGCAGGCCAGGTGAACGGACATAATCAGCATTTTGGACAACATGGGTTCCAGGGGAAATTCGGCCATCTACAATGTGGGAAACCAAGGCAAGATTAGGGTTGGGAGGGGAGGGAGGTGTGAGGATAAACAACAACTGCTCAATTCACGTGAATGTAGAAGCCTGTCTGGACAGGAAGAACGTGTGGGGCATAACACGTCTTAAGGAAGCGAACAATGTGCAGCCAAATTTTAAGTTCAATAAAAATCTAAAGCGTTTGCACTGTGGAGTATAAAGCCAGCCTGGTACAGGACAGACACCAAAAGGGAATTGGCGGATAAATTTTTTTTCACAAATTAAAAAAGCAACCGCCGACTGCGTAGAAAAAGGGGGAGACTGGGGGCATGAGATTAATAACGATTTATCCTCGGATCAAGAAGCCAGAGGTTTCTCGAGCAAGGCACACGTGATTCATCTTTGAATTAACTTTTCTCCCAGTACTGCCGATCAAATTTGCTCGACAGGGGGTTAAAAGCAGCAGGTTGACTCAAGATTTGAGGCAGGGTGAAAATGAGGAGACTTATAATTTTCTTTTGGTACTGCCGTGACCTTGTTTTCGGATTCGGTCTGCTCACAAGATGATAAGCGATAGATGAGGAACCAGTGATCTCAACCGCCTTACCGACTATCAGATGCTTGTGATTCCATTCACTAGGAAAGACGGGAAGAACACGTTCAGGGTGCCCATGTCCTACGTTTAACTACCTCCCAGTTAGAAAACTTTCGCTGATAGAACGCCAAATCTACAGCTCCCTGGAGCGTAAGAAGGCCTAAAGGTGTATGTAGTTTAGCTTAAACCACGACTAACTTCATAGTTGGTATAAAACAGGCTTACCAATCCGAAAATTATATTTCGAATAGCAGATGGGTAAAAAAGGCGTGAGCTCGGCAAATTTCCCAACCGTATGCTGTCACTTAGAAGACTACAAGTGTAAATGAACTGCTTTCCGGAGTTTTACATATGATGAAAACGCAAACTTCTCTCTCGTTAGTATTTAATACAATCACGTGTCCAGGTTTTTTTCCCTCCGCTCTCTCAGTAAGTTGGTAAAAAATTTAACATTTTGAAAAAAAAATTGAGTAAGCATGCTGCACTTGCCCTTCTTCCGAGCCGAGTTAGCAGACCTTCGTCATCAAGAGCCGAAAGCGCGTGCAGCGTTTCCATAGCAGCTACGAGCGTCTAAAATCGAGAAAGGTGGTTAAATGAGCCAGCAATATAAAAAAGCAAACAGCTCACTGGGCAACAGCTCTGCGCAGCATGCATTCGCACCAAACCAAAAAACAACTTTAACTGTCCTGAGATAGTGCCCTTAGCTCATCCGCAGCTTTCAACGCAAAAGGGTAAAAAATAGAACCAGCAGGGAAGCATTTGACACTTCGACAGCCCCAAACGCTGTCAGTGCTTCACATCGAGGAAGTATGGGCGTGAATTTGTTCCCAGTAGAACATACTTGCTCAGCCATTCAGTCCCCACACTAAGGGAGATGGGGGAGGGGTGGGCTCATTGGGAGACGAGATCGAAACGAGCGGAAACGCGCACGGATAAAAGTTCGAAATAACAAAAAACAGGGCCGATAAAAAAGTACACGCTGAGTTTCAGAGACGGTATGATGGCAGTCCTTTGGACGAGGATCTGTTAATTGCTAACTTTTGCATTTACCCCTGACGGTGGTCCTACAACGAGGAATCACTACTTGTGCAGAACATACTTTTGGCAAAAGTGTAGTAGAGTCAGGCGGGAGTTAAGCTCATGTATTTAGCCTGAAAGCCGGACGGGAAGTAAGCGGTGGGTCTGAGGGGCTGTCAGTCAGAACCCACAATGTGTGCGTCGAGTTGCCGACTGCAGGACTGAGCCAAGCTCAATGGGTAGCTCTGGATGTGGACT